TTGAAGAAATGATAGAATGAAGACAAAAGTGTTATGTTTTGATGTCGTTCACATTTCAAATTAAGCAATGCATTTCTTATAGCTTTAAGCACATAGATAGTTAATATTTATATTTTCATGATAATTTTATGTGAAATGAGTGTTTCATGTTACGCTATAAGTCGTTGGAATTAGTCAGTGCTGTCATTGTTAAAAGAAGTTATATTTCTTTGAGCATATCTGGCTGGATACTATTATTATCTGTAAATATAATAACAGAATTAGACTTCATCAAGTTCACTCCATTCTTCCACAGAAGAGTCATCAGTGTCCAGACGAATGACAACTGGATTAACTGTTTGCTCCTTCAAGCCATCTTTGAGCCAGTACTCTTTCTCCACCTTCTTGACATGTTCAACACATGCATGCCAGCGTGCAATGTCAATGTCACATATAGCAGTGTTGACAATGTGCTTGACATCATTCAACTTGAATGATTGATTTTGTCCGGGCCACTGTACATTTAAGGTCTCCCCAGATAAGTTCGATTGGGTTGAGATCACAGTGGTACGGTGGTAATCTCAAGACCTTATGGTCGTGTTGGCGTAGCATGTTGTCAATGTTATATGTGGGTGGAGGTTTGTTAGGTTTAATCAAAGAGTACAACTGTGGTTTAGTGGCCTTAATTGACAATTTTTATTGTTATTTGTTAGCCATTGCTGCATATCTGACTTCTTTGTATTGGAAGTTGGGCACCTATTGTTTGGATCTCGAACACTGTGATAGGGAGCATTGTCCATGACAACAAGACTTTTGTAAGGCAGAGCTGGCAACAATTGTTCCTCAACATACTGTGTGAAAACCGTTGAGTTCATTAATTTTCTGTATGATAGTCCCTACCATCTGTGCTCTTTGACCGAAATACTAGATCACACCCAGGTAGGAATCCACTGTGGGACTGACTGACTGAGTTTAGTTTTACGCCGCTTTTAGCAATATTCCAGCAATATCACGGCGGGGGACACCAGAAATGGGCTTAACACATTGTGCCCATGTGGGGAATCGAACCCGGGTCTTCGGCGTGACGAGCCAACGCTTTAACCACTAGGCTACCCCACCGCCCCTCCACTGTGGGAACCAGCATGAAAAACGATTAAACGCTCACCTTTGCCTGTTGGTATTTTCCTACCATCACTGGGATCAGTGAGTAGCCACTGTCTGGCAGCAGTATGGTTTGCATTGACCAAGGTCTCATCCAGTTATATGGGTTCGAACCCATCTCTCACACATTACAAGTTTCTGGTTTGCTACCTTCTTGAACTTGTATCCAAATTTGAGCAGTAGTTTGCTTAGCATAAACCTAGAAACATTAATGTCGTGATCCTCTGCAAGGATGTGTTTTAACTCTCTTGTGGACAGGTGTTATTTCTAGCAAATAGCCGGCGAATGACATCTCTGATGACACTGATGTCAAAAGAATCTAACTTTGGATGCCTACCATTTTGTACATGGTTTTGTTTATTGGTTGTTGGTTTATTTTTCACAATTTTTAGCACGATGTTCTTTTTCATGCCAAGAGCAAAAGTTGTACGTTTCATGTAATCCGACACCTTATAAATCGGTTTGCTACGTTTACTCTCTTTTTAAAAAAAATTCAACACATTTCTAATTAAACGTTTAGCATCATCTGACTAAGCTTTCATGATGACAGCCAGAAGTAGTCAATGTGAATTATCCAAACGGTCTATCACTGTGCAGTGCACAGGTAACTATCATGAACTGCACGTGCATTTACCTTTATGACCCAACACTGCCGCTGTTACAGGTCATTGGCTCCCTCCCTCTGCGTTCTGTTGTTTATTTTGCTGACAGTTACATAGACAGATTCTTTAATACAAATGCATAAAATCGGTGATTTCCAATGTGATTAGGTTGTCTGACAAAACATCCACTTGCACAGTTTGAGATGATTGGGTCATTGGATGAAGAGATATTTACAAAAAACCGGGTCCACATGCATTTCATGCCAAACTATAGACAATAGCAAAACGGCAAAACCTAAACGTTATAGCCTCGATAAAAAAACCTACTTTTCGCCAAAATGTTGACATAGATAAGGTAAATATATTAACTTACAAATCTTGTCCGTACAGCGGTATCCAACCATGGAGATTAATCGATTATCAACACGCTCTCTGATAGCTTCTCGCACGTGCTGTCACGGGAACACGGAAACATGAAACATTCGGGACACAGAAACACGCGAAATACACACCCCGTTATCGTAAGAACAAGCCATGGCTTAATACTAAATGTAGGAAATTCAGAAAACAATTCATAAAGCAAAAGCTGTTTACAATCACACAAAGGTGTAGTTTTGGAAAGGAACAGTTTATCTGTGTTGTTTTTGATGCAGCTACATGAGTCCTATATTCCCAAATTTACTTATTTCTTTATTTAAAGAATGTGTGTGGTTTTTATTCGCCTGAATAGTTTGTCATGAATAAAGTTCATTTAGTCTTGAGTATTTAGTATTGATACAAACATCATATGTGTCGGTCACTGATTCAACATAATTCTTACCGTGTTTTAACATGTTATGTTGTTCAACTTAAGTGCTTTACATCCATACCCGTGAAGATCCGGGCTAGAACTGATCTTCAGTAACTCATGCTTGTCGTATGAGGCGACTAACGGCATCGGGTGGTCAGGCTCGCCAACTTGGTGGACACCTGTCATCGTGTCCCAATTGCGTAGATCGATGCTCATACTGTTGATCACTGAATTGTCTGGTCCAGACTCGATTATTTACAGACCACCGCCATATAGCTGGAGGAATATTGCTGAGTGCGGCGTAAAAACTAAACTCACTCACTCACCTACATGTGAAGAGTAGTAAACCAAACTGTATATTATAGATATTGCTTTTAAAACAAGAGTACCCTTACGTTAATACAGAAAATAGTGCTTTAAAAACAAAACACCACCAACATTGGCATTTCATAGTGAACCTATCCCTATTCTATTCAATGTCATCATAACCAGGCACAAAAATTAAGTATTTAGAATTACTTGCTTCAGTTTATTCACTTGACTCGAAATATTCGTGTGGGGACGAGCTACTGCATGTACATACACAAGAACCTGTGTGGCGCATGTTAAAGTTAGTTGAGATGTTGTGTCATAGTTGTAATTTCCACCCAGTAACAATACAGCCTCAACTACAAGTCATGAAGTAGTTGGTTGTACTGTATCATACCCTACGTGAATCTACGGTCACAGGCGACGTGATTCGGTTTCACCGTTTAGTTTCACGCCGCTTTTAGCAATATCCCAGCAACATCACGGCGGAGAACATGGGCTTGTGGGGCATGTGGGGAATCGAACCCGAGTCTTCGGCGTGACGAGCAAACGCTTTAACCACTAGGCTACCCCACCTCCCGTTTAACGCTATAAGAGCATAGACACACCCATTAAAGGTTATGGTCACTCTTTGAGACAGTGATTAGATGGTGTATTGTCTAGATTCAGCAATATATATCTCTTTGTGTGGATCTTTTCGGAGCTCCGTGGAACAAACTTGGTGCACAAGGAGGAGGAAGAGCAACAGCGATCGTTTCCTTTGACTGGTCTGTGTTGCTAAATACCCAACACTGGGGTTATAAAACTTCAACGCCCACCAGAACTTTGAAGATGATTTGTTCTGGACCCTGTGGTTAAAAGATGTTTGGGAAAATGTTCGGGAAAACCCACATGGCATGAGTGATGGTTTATATCACTTTTCTGTATTGCTTCCCAGATAATAAGACTCAATTATTCTTGAAGCTGTCTGCCAATTGATGTGGAGGAGCCATTTTGCATGACAGTATTGAAAGAACGTTCCAAGGATACGATAGCTCACGGAGGTGGTAATTTCAACAGCGTCAGGGCGTCGGCCCATTTTCGTAATGAGAGAGAGAGAGAGAGAGAGAGAGAGAGAGAGAGAGAGAGAGAGAGAGAGAGAGAGAGAGAGAGAGAGAGAGAGAGAGAGAGAGAGAGAGAGAGAGAGAGAGAGAGTATATCAAGAGAGAGAGTTGACGAAAAAGTTCGTTGTGAAGTGCAAAGTAATTTCGTAAGATACCATGATAAATTGATTGCATCAGTCGGAAAAAAACAACATGAAACAATTTATTGCGACATTTTTTAATGAACACGCACCTTTATAGGTTTAAAAACAGCACATACTGACCAAAGACAGATTCGCGTCATTTCTATAGTTTGTTCCCAGAAGTACAATGCATTCATACAGTAACCTATTAGCCAAGGCTTACTATCACACATAATTCACAGGTAGTCCACCATTCACCGTTACACGTACGTGGGTTATTCTCCAATACATGAACGGCACCAGACTCGCAGTCAAAGAATTAGTAGAAATAAAAATACACTCGAGAGCAGATCCTCCATCCCCGGTCCGCAATAATTACAGCTGCCTCGTGTCGGGCTTTGCTAACAAACGCGCAGAGTTGACCTACTTATGGCTGTGATAAATGGCTTCACTGGCGTCAGTTCTCATTTGATATATTTACTTACTTCAAATTGTTTGTTACAAAAACCCTGTTTCCGGTTTACAGGACAAATGGTACACTATTACGGAGAGAAGGAAATGGTGCATATCCCACTCACACATTGCCCTTACCTGCTGTTTTCAGGACAAAATCTAATGTTAAGAAAGGCGGTGCCGCAAATGGTACCATGTGGAGGAATCGAACACGTGTGGGTCGAACGCTTCAACAACTGCGCTACTCCATCCCCCACCTGGCCAGTTATGACAAGGGGTTACCCAACAAAACCTTCATACAGTTAGTCACGGTTCAGTGACTGTACGGTCATCTGACCCGTGAAGATCCAGGATATAATTGTTTTTCAGTAACCCATGCTTGTCGTAAGAGACGACTAACGGGATCGGGTGGTTAGGCTTGCTGTCTTGGTTGACTTGACACACGTCATCGTGTCCCAATTGCGTAGATCGATCCTCATGCTGTTGATCACTGAATTGTCTGGTCCAGACTCAATTATTTACAGTCCACCGCCATATAGCTGGAATATTGCTGAGTGCGGCGTAAAACCAAACTTACTCACTGTGCCGCCATCTATCTAGTGGTCGAAATTACTGACGGTTTGTCTGAAGGCCAATTATGTGCTGTCTCTGAAACATGTACACGTGTTCCGGTTCGTCAGCAAGAAACCAGAACGGTGCGGTTGTTCAGCGGTTGAGCTGGTCTGTCGTTCGTGTCGACCGAAATGGGTTCACCGTCACTGACTGGAACAGCCCTCAGCACACGGATCTGGTGAAGTAACAAATCACACATGAGGATCGTCAGAATACAACACAACGTCACAATACAACACGACGTCACAATACAACGTCACAATACAACACGACGTCACAATACAACACGACCGAGGGAACTACCAAGATGCAAACCATAAGTTTCTAGCCATGATGAGAACGTCAACAGCCTTAGATTACGCAATATGCTTGAAACAATATTAACATAGTTATTTATTCTTTGAAACTTCAAAATATTAGTGGATTTCCTCATTTGATACCTCTAAATGTCATTTTAAAATTCTTAATGTCCCGTCAGTTTAGAAAAATATCAAAGTGAAGAGCTTATACATTTCAAATGTAATACCTATTGGTACAAAGTATGCATACGGTACACTGACTTGCAATCCTTTAATTCAACTTTGGCCATGCTCTGACCACAGGCCACTAATGCCAAACTGGAAAGGATTTCGTTCTGGGGCCACTAATACCAAGCAAGCTCTTACCCTCTCCTCTGTGGTCAGAACAGGCAATACCATAAGAACCCATCGGACTGACTCCCGAACAGGGCGGGGTGGTAAGCGACCCCTTGTACGTGTAGTAATCATTGTCTAGCACCAACAGCTCCGTCGGGTCAAGAGTCACTTCCTCAGATTCACCTGAAACAGAATTACATCTCAATACCGACGATGATATCTCTTGTTGAGCTGTCATATAACTTTCACAAAACTGAATAAGATCTGTCTATATCACCTCCATAACTTGTTTTGTGAATACAATAGCATACCATCGCGGTACTGCATAATTACTTTTCAATGATCATCTACAATATGTAGGGAGTGGGATTCATTGTGATAGAGATTGTTACGAATATACATTTGACCCCGGCATCATATTTGCCATGATTATTTAAGAAACTACTCCTTAAGGCGTGCTTGCGCAAATGTCAATTGTTGGACACTGGTGAAATATAAAAAAAGTAATTACTATCTTTGGGTCTCGATTTGATATACAGATACGACGCATCAACATCTCGAGAACTTCATGTTGTATACTTGATTAATACCCGTCTCGATACAATAAAATATTTCACTGTGACTAAATAATGTATATGTGACAAAAATACTGAACGTGATATAACGCCTTTTACGATCTTTCCAATTATACATTAATTCTATGTATGGGCGTCGGATTAGGCCAGTGGGTAAAGAGCCGTAGTCCGAAGAACCGGGTTCGATTTCCCACATGAGTACAATGTGTGAAGCCCATTTCCGGTGTACCCCGCCGTAATATTGCTGGTTGCTAAAGCGGCGTAAAACTAAACTCACTCACTCACGTAAATCTCTGTAAGGATGATGTGTTCACATTCAGATGATACTCAAAAATGTTTACATCCATAACACTGAGCACGTGTAGACGAACCGATTGTGGACCAAGGAAGTATAATACAAGGATAAAAATGCTTAAACAGATCGCCATATGTTCCTCCCAACAACTCATCAAGTACAGCTCAAACCAATGAGTACCTGCTGAAGATTATTAGTGTATATTTCCACCATTGATTGGTGACGTTACCTGGTATAGTGTCAAGTATGTTCTCAGGTGGACATGACAATACACTTACCGACTTTCTAGTCACGATATGGCTGAAATATTGCCGATGTGACTTAAAATCTTAACTCACTTACCGACTTTCAGATGCGCCACTCCATCCACGAATGTGTTGAAGGCGTGGTCCAGCGATTCACTTACAACCTGGAATAAGGTTAAGGAGACCGTTAGTCAACGACGGCGACGCTATTGTTAACATTAACACTGTCACAACCCAGAAGACACTATTGTTAACGTTAACACTGTCACAACCCAGCAGACGCTATGTTAACATTAACACTATCACAACCCAGAAGACACTATTGTTAACATGAACACTATCACAACCCAGAAGACACTATTGTTAACATCAACACTATCACAACCCAGAAGACAGTATTGTTAACATCAACACTGTCACAACCCAGAAGACACTATTGTTAACATTAACCCTGTCACAACCCAGAAGACACTATTGTTAACATCAATACTGTCACAACCCAGAAGACACTATTGTTAATATTAACACTATCACAACCCAGAAGACACTATTGTTAACATTCACACTATCACAACCCAGAAGACACTATTGTTAACATTAACACTATCACAACCCAGAAGACACTATTGTTAACATTAACACTATCACAATCCAGAAGACACTATTGTTAACATTAACACTATCACAACCCAGCTGACACTATTGTTAACATTAACACTATCACAACCCAGAAAACACTATTGTTAACATGAACACTGTCACAACCCAGAGGACACTATTGTTAACATTAACACTATCACAACCCAGCAGACACTATTGTTAACATTAACACTATCACAACCCAGCAGACGCTATTGTTAACATTAACACTATCACAACCCAACATACACTATTGTTAACATGAACACTATCACAACCCAGCAGACGCTATTGTTAACATTAACACTATCACAACCCAGCTGACACTATTGTTAACATTAACACTATCACAACCCAGAAGACACTATTGATAACATTAACACTATCACAACCCAGAAGACACTATTGTTAACATGAACACTATCACAACCCAGAAGACACTATTGTTAACATTAACACTGTCACAACCCAGCTGACACTATTGTAAGCATGAACACTATCACAACCCAGCTGACACTATTGTTAACATGAACACTACCACAACCCAGAAGACACTATTGTTAACATTAACACTACCACAACCAAGCTGACACTATTGTTAACATTAACACTGTCACAACCCAGCTGACACTATTGTTAACATTAACACTGTCACAACCCAGAAGACACTATTGTTAACATGAACACTATCACAACCCAGCTGACACTATTGTTAACATTAACACTATCACAACCCAGCAGACGCTATTGTTAACATTAACACTATCACAACCCAACATACACTATTGTTAACATTAACACTATCACAACCCAGCAGACGCTATTGTTAACATCAACATTGTCACAAACCACAAGACACTATTGTCAACATGAACACTGCCACAACCCAGAAAACACTATTGTTAACATGAACGCTGTCACAACCCAGAAAACACTATTGTTAACATCAACACTGTCACAACCCAGAAGACACTATTGTTAACAATAACACTATCACAACCCAGAAGACACTATTGTTAACATTAACACTATCACAACCCAAAAGACACTTTTGTTAACAATATGACAAAATGACTGAGTCAGTGAAATACTAATATTTACCAAATAAAATTGTAATGAAGTCTTTCTTCAAGCAGTGACTGAACGCCATACATAGCTAGACTTGCTTAAATCATTAAAAAAAAGAAAACAAAACAAACAAAAACCACAAAAAAACCTAACAACTTCATGTAAGGCATCATAGATATTTCACAAACATGGTACAGGACCCTTCCCCTCATTAGCGTATTGCTTCACCACTTGCGAATTAAGCGTTGGCAGATGTAAGGCGTTAGCATTACAGTAAAGGCTGAGCGGAAGGAGAAATAACATGGTTCAGGCACTGTGAGACTATTAAGAAAGGTCACATGCAGTGCAATAATTTTCCAATTATGTACTGCCAAAAAGTATTTTAATTAAAGTAGTGAGCTGAATAGACTTAAGAAATTACGAGTTGGTACGTGTGGCATATTTGGCTGAGCTCTAAGAGAGATAAAGTGCTATTCTATTGGGACAGCTAGGGGCACTTGGGAGGACAAAGAGGCACCTCATCGCCCTTTGTTCACCACTGAACCTTTTAATCCCTCGAAACAAACACTTCACAAGATTTGCCAACACCGCAGACAAGACGTAACTGATCCTGGTAGCAAGAGCGAGTGCAGCTTTTTCCTCTATGCCATTCCTTCTTCATACGTTTCGGAAATATTTACGATGTAATACAATTTTCAACTGCTATAAAAGAATCATTTGCGGTATATATTTACACATTTTCTGGAGTAAACACTAATACTGCTTAACTGCATGACATTACGAAAGTGAATTTTCTGGAGATTAAAGTACTGTGAAAATAAATACTCATTTGAAAGGAACTATGCATATCTAAATTGATATTGCAACCGATACTAGTAAATTAATTCAAAATATTACCATTCATTTTTAAATTCCCAGATACAGCTCCTTTTGGTTCGTACTCGATGCCGCCTAGAGGATAACACACAGCGTCTTCGCTCTGGATGTCAATGGGGGACTGATTAGACCCGTCACAGCAGTGGGTGTCCTTGTCCAGATCGTACCAGTGGAAAGGATCTGGAACACAATATCCGTCATTTCAGTTCAGTTTAAGCGTACTGCAGGAGATTGATTGATTGCTGTTTTACGACAAACATGGTTGCTGAAACCAATTCTAACCCGGTTTTCAAAGGTTACTGTAGGAGAATCTGAGGCGCTACTTGAATGTCTCCGTATTTGTTGAAACCAACGAGCACTGGCAAACCAATCAGGGCGAACTGATTTTCGATGTCAAGATCATTGATTTCAAGGACGCCTAAGAGACGCAGCTGTGTACGGCGTATATATCTGCGTTGTACAACGGCACCCAGGGCCCTTATTCTCGAAACGTTCGTAGCCCTAAAAATTCTTAACTATGATCGAAGCCAGTGTGTTAAGAATGGGCTTAAGAAGATCGTAGGGCTACGAACGTTTCGAGAAGAGCTAGCCAGGTCCTTAAACGTTTTAATCCATTTGAAGAAAGTGATCTTAGCGCTGAGGTAATCGTAACGCCCATACTTTAATACTTGACCTAAGCCAGTTTAAAACCACAATGTGGAAGATTGTGGTCCACCCGTTCCCCCTCAACTCGATAATGCTTTGAAGTTAAGAGATTGGGATCAATGCTTAATTTCAATAATAGGTCTTTGAATGGCATTTAGAAATGGTACACTTAAGGAAGAGAGTTTGTAAGGATGTCCTCTTCTTTACTATGAGGAACACTACGCTTCGGAGTATATTCCTACTCCTTCATCATTCACTCGAGGATTCAAAGCAAAAATATTGTCTGAATAGGTGTGTTTTAAGTTTGTTTCTGGAATGAATCCCTTGATTTTGCAATTTTCAGTTAAGCTGGAAATTCATTCCTCAACACTGGGGCTGACACTGTAAAACAGCTTTCCCCCATTTCAGTGGTGGTTCTGGGGATGGCAAGATCATTCAAAGTACTGCTGGATGGAAGAGTTCTATTTGAAGTTTTATACGAAATTATACTAAGGAGCAGTGGGATCATTCAGGACTGAATATGTAAGAGAAAGCACAGGAAGCTACTGTAGCTCACGCAGGATTGGTGTGATTTCACAGTGCTTCCTGGAACCAGTGATGAGACGAGCAGAGCTGTTCTGTAGACGCTGTAGGAGTTGTTTGAGCTTGATGTTCCATAAAGCAGCGAGTTACAGTAATCTAGGCGTGGTGTGATACATGCTTGCACAAGAGCTTTCAGACAATTCACAGTCAGATATGTATTGATGTTGCTGATATTGTAGAGACAGAAAGAAACAGAACGACAGAGAGTGTGATTTGGATTGTTGTTCAGACAGGAGGAATGCTAATTATATATATATATATATATATCCAACTTCTCTTTGTGTCGACCAATATACCAGCAGCTCCAACTTTTGTTGTCTACATTTCTCAACTTTTGAGGTACAATCCAACATTTTCTTTCTACCAGTATATCATAAAGCGCCGCACGACCCGTACTCAAAAGTTGTTTGATAAGGGTTATTGCTTTAATAAAGCTTGTAAAAAGTTCAATGGTAGATTTGTGAAGGACGTTTCAAAATATGACCTGTCGGTGACAAAAATGAATATCTGGTGCAAATGCCTATTTTCACTAATGAAACATAATCCCGTGTGTTTATTCTTCAGGAAAATACTTGCCTTGTCTTTGCATGTGTTGGGCAGAATATGCTCTCCTTTTGGCGAACACTTATTTTCGTCAATATTTGATAGTGATTCCAGAACGCTTGAAATGGTCGGCGTCGTGAAATGGTAAAAGCGGATATTGCTTACGCTCTTCGACAATTTAAATAGCTTTTACTTGGAGAAAACAGGTACAATGCTTCAATCAACTTACCATCGTCGGAACCGGCGTGGTAACCGAAGTGTATATGGTTTGACGGGATGGGACACAGGGCATCTTTCGCAGTCACGTAGACGTTGGCTGCAACGGCAATGACAGCAATCGGAATCAGCATCTTTACCCGTCAGTGTCTGTGTGAATGAACAACATGGTGCCAGCAGACCTATAAATACAGCGGGGTGTCTGAAACCAACACCGGTCCCGCACCAGGTGGGTCCCAAATAAACTTATCGTGACTGCATACGCGCTGATGAAAAGATACTGTCCTCATAAAATGTTAGTTTAATATCTACAGGAGTTTAAATGTAACATATGTTATAATCTGGAAAATATATGTAACGTATGTTACATCTGACCACTTTCTAAATGGAATTGTGTATTCAAAGCTTTCGGCCTTGGGAGCCGGGCCAGTTTACACTTGTCAGATGGGAACATACATTACATGATCTAGACTACCAGCTGTCCGACTTCCATCTCTGTGGAAGCCGCGAGGCTGAGTGGGTTAGATGGCTGGCTTTATGTGCTGGTGACTTTGAGAGTGTGGGTTCGAATCCTGGATGGGACACAACCCTAAAG